AGGGGGGGAACGGACGGCGAGGAGAGGGGGAACGGATGGTGAGGAGAGGGGGAACGGACGGCGACGAGGGGGGGAACGGACGGCGAGGAGAGGGGAAACGGATGCCGACGAGGGGGGGAACGGACGGCGAGGAGAGGGGGAACGGACGGCGAGGAGAGGGGGAATGGACGGCGATGAGGGGGGGAACGGACGGCGACGAGGGGGGGAACGGACGGCGAGGAGAGGGGAAACGGATGCCGACGAGGGGGGGAACGGACGGCGAGGAGAGGGGGAACGGACGGCGAGGAGAGGGGGAATGGACGGCGACGAGGGGGGGAACGGACGGCGACGAGGGGGGAACAGACGACGAGGAGGGGGGGAACGGACGGCGAGGAGAGGGGGAACGGACGGCGAGGAGAGGGGGAACGGATGGCGACGAGGGGGGGAACGGACGGCAAAGAGAGGGGGAACGGACGGCGACGAGGGGGGGAACGGACGGCGAGGAGAGGGGGAACGGACGGCGAGGAGAGGGGGAACGGACGGCGACGAGGGGGGTAAGGGACAGCAAGGAGAGGGGGAACGGACGGCGAGGAGAGGGGGGACGGACGGCGAGGAGAGGGGGAGCGGATGGCGACGAGGGGGGAACGGACGGCGAGGAGGGGGGGAACGGACGGCGAGGAGAGGGGGAACGGACGGCGAGGAGAGGGGGAACGGACGGCGACGAGGGGGGGAACGGACGGCGAGAAGAGGGGGAACGGTTGGCAAGGAGAGGGGGAACGGACGGCAAGGAGAGGGGGAACGGATGGCGAGGAGAGGGGGAATGGATGGCGAGGAGAGGGGGAACGGATGGCGAGGAGAGGGGGAACGGATGGCGAGGAGAGGGGGAACGGATGGCAAGGAGAGGGGGAACGGATGGCAAGGAGAGGGGGAACGGATGGCGAGGAGAGGGGGAACGGATGGCGAGGAGAGGGGAATGAGAGGGCGAGAAGAGAGCAAGGGAGAGCGAGGAGGGCAGAGAACGGAGGGCGAGGGGAAGGGGGGGGAGGGCAAGTGGCAGAGGGGTAACCAAGGGCGAGGTGTGGGAGAGGGTGAGGGAAGGCGGATGAGAGAGCGGGGAGAGGCAGATGTGAGGGTGAGGAGAGGCAGGGTGAGAGGGAGAGGAGCCTGCTCTCTGCTGCCCACCCGCTCTCTGCTGTCCTCCCTGCTCTCTGCTGCCCGCCCGCTCTCTGCTGTCCCCCCTGCTCCCTGCTGCCCGCCCGCTCTCTGCTGTCCCCCCTGCTCTTTGCTGCCCGCCCACCTCCCTACCTCGCTCCGCTATCCCATCCTTTCCCCCATCCTCCCTCCCCTTTTCTCCCACCCTGTCAAGCATTTCCCCCATCCACTACCCCTTTCACTTATGCCCTCGATTTTGCTCCTCTTTAGGTCACCTATTTTGCAATCGCTTCTCCCCACCTCTCAACCAGTTTCCCCTTCAACCCTATTGTTCACCCACTTGGTCGCCCGCTCTACTGTGGCTGTATGCTTCTACTAGTCACCCAGCATTTACCCCCTGTTTTTTACTCCCCCGCCTTTTGCTGACCCATCCTGGCAGCCATCCGCTGCAGTTCTGGCACCAAGGGTATGGTGTGCAAGTCTTGCTGATTCAACTGACGAAATTTTGTTATTTTGCATCCATTCATGAGTGCAACCCAACTTTACAACCTATTGCACCAAGAAACAATTTGCATTTACTTGCATTCAGCTTGCGAGCCCTCGTTTTCTCATAGACCATTGTGATGAACAATACATTTGGATAGGTAATTAAAAAAAAAAATCTTACTGTGTGTTACGGTGTTTTTGGATACGAGTATTTTGGCGCTTCCAGTCAAAGTTTTGGAAAATCCTGACGAGCGTGTTCGCACTTGACGCCGCTGCCAGGCCTTCGCAGCTGATTTCACTCCAAGAGGCGTCTCCGCCCTGTATCCCGACGTTTCCGAACAGGGTGAAGAGACTCACTTCACCAGAATGAACACGCCCCAGCTGCAGCTTTCTTCCCTGTTGGAACTGTCGCGCATGGGTTTGGGACCTCATCGCACACGTTCCGAAATCGCCCATCCTCCCGTAGGTGTGGCTTATGGTGGGTTCTTATCTGCCCAGTTTGTAAAAAAGTTCAATGACAATTTCGCTCTAGCAACCCAACTTTTTCACAGATGCCCCCACTTCAAGAGCGGCTCACTTGAAGCCCCCCCTATGCTATTTTAGCCTGTGGTTTTAATGAATCCTTATCATTTCTTGGGTCTTCAAGGAGTTTCCCCATCTTGGCAGAGTCCTTTTTCGCGGAGTTAGATTTTTCCTCGGCGATTTCCTCTGGCGAAGACTGGTCGTGGGGTGGAGATTTTTCCCCATCATTTTCTCCTGTTCGCGTCGAATCAGCTGCGTCGAAGATGATTTTTCCGAAAGTCCGCGGCCGCTTTCGGATCTTTTCTTTTTCGCCAGCTAGATCCGCAATCACTGGCGAGTCCCGTTTTTTGTCTTCTGATTGGCCGAAGGATTTCCGCCACTGTTGCATGCCCGATACTCAGCGCGTACGGCTTTCATTTTGTTGCAGTCGAAGATTCGATGACTCGGCACCCCGCAAAAATCACACGTGAAGTTGGTGTTTTTCGGACGTGGCCGCCCTTCGAACCTGTCGAACCCAGCGGGTCACTCGACATAGCTCTGCCCCGGTTCTGTACGCTGACAATAGGGCCATGACCCTCCAGTGTCAGGAGCCTCGACTTGAGGGCGGAGCGAAGCACATCCAGCTGTGGTACTTCTTCCTGCGCGAGCTTCAGCAGCGTCACCAGGCCCGCGTAGTACACTTGGCCTCCGGTGTCAACACAGCTGATATCTTTACTAAGGCGCTTCCGCCTGGAGATCATCAGCGGCACTGCTTGCAGTTAGGTCTAGTCCCTGTTGACTCTCACTTGCTAGGCCCTTGATTGTGTACTCCTTTCTATTTATGCCTTCCAGATTTGCCTTGTGGCTTTTCCTCCAATGGATGACAAACAAGAATCCACAAGGTTGCTACAGCGGGTATGCCATTAGGTCCACGACATTTTACTCCATGTAATACTCCAAGGTCCGAAATTCGATAAGATCGGCCACGATGTACTCCGTCTGTACGGTATACATCTACTGTTGACTTCGCTAAAAAAGCGCAATAAAACATTGTGACCAATCACGACAGTCGCATAATGCCACCGACCATCGAGTCGCGCCACCCGAATTGGGTGCGATACCAGCATGCGAATGTCGCCAACCAACCCGCGAGTGCGAGCTCGGAAATTTATCGTGAACTGTGCTTGGAATTGCCCGGCCAATACGCGCTTGCCAGGGCGATCAGACGCAATCACGACGGACAAAAAAAGTGACAGCCAGCTGATACCACTGTCCACCTGGCAATTTTGTATGCGCGCTGACCTGGGCATGAATCCGTACCCCCTTTTCATCCATTCTGTCTTATTATTTAAGTCCTATTTTAATCCTCGTGTCAAGAACATTCGAGGCGTTTTCCATATTTTATAACCAATGACGTAAATATTCAGGCTTTCCACGTGACACGAACAGGTCCGTCCCAAATACGAAAACAAGACCCACGGTCCCTCAATCATCATTAACCAATGCACATGTCGAAATGTTTTTCTGAAATGGCTTTTTTCACCTTCGTGAAAGTGTGTGATTGGTTTACGAAACTGCTCAGGCGAGTCGTCATAATTTCGTTACGCTAAGCCCTTTTCGTGATACCACGAAAAGGGTTTTTTCAAATTATATGATTCGCGCGTTTTGAGCCTGCGCTGCTTGCGGAAGGTCGAGAACAAGGTGTTACTTCTATTGTCCGCGGTAATTCTGACCAGACGACAAATTTGCTGAACGTTTTTTAAGAAGCCACATGAGCCCTCACATGACACGCGGCGAAGTCGCTGGTAACCTGGCCCAAGGGCCAATACGCCAAGGCACCCATCGTGAACAAAAATAGTAAAACAGCCTACGCCATCCCACCTAAAACCGTACGGGCTACTCGATAATCCATTTTGCCCGTAGTGAACCGCTCTTATTCGTCGTAGTCCATATCTGCGAGTCGCGGATTTGGAGCATAGAGCATACCCCTTGTACCATGTTCTGGCTGGCTATGTTCGCTTCGCACGAATGCTACTCGCGAAAATGCAGTACATGCGCACGTTGACGAATCATATGCGTCGCAAAATGCTGCAAATTCATGGCCTCGTAGTGACGCGGTTGCTGGGCAAATGATAGGAACTAGTGCCATGCTGATCCTAGCGAAAATCACCTGCTGCTGATAGGCTGCGCTGACGGACTGCCGCAGCTGACGGACCGCCGCAGCTGACGGGCTGGCGCAGCTGACGGGCTGGCGCAGCTGTCGGGCTGGCGCAGTTGACGGACTACCGCAGCTGACGAACTGCCGCAGCTGACGGTTTGCTACATGCTCACTCCTCCCTCGTTGGGCGAGTATGTTACGCCACTCAGCAGCTGTGCCACACGCGTGGTGGCTTACACTTTCCCGTCAAACACTGCAATCAGGCGTTCACTGAAGCTGCAACACAAGCTCCAGCCAAGACAGCTGTAGCTAAGGAAAAGCGGCGCGGCGTAAGATCCAGCTTCAGGTTGCTGAAGCTCATTATTAGTAAAATGATACAGATACATCGGCTAATCAATAACCTAATATACAAGTAAAAGTGAACAACAAGTGTCCGAGCAACTGAGCCAATACAACAGCCCACCGACAACCCACAAAAGAAAAGCACCTGAGGCAGCCAAGACAGCTGTAGCTAAGGAAAAGCGTCGCAGCGTAAGATCCAGCTCAGGCTGCAGCTATTTGCAAGATGGAAAAATTTAGCACGTAATTTAACGCCATGAATAATAGAGTGGTACAGGTACATCGGGTAATCAATAACCTAGTATACAATTACAAGTGGACAACAAGTGTCCGAGCATCTGAGTCAATACAACAGCCCACCGACAACTCACAAAAGAATCAGCCAACTATATCGAAACCGCCGCGCATGCTCAGTTGAGGGGCTCCATGGGGAACTCCTCGACGGGGCTCAGCTGCTTGGCGCGGTGGCACTCGGCGTGCGCGCAGTCCACGGACAGCACCGAGCTCGACTCGTACGACCGGGGAGTGCTGTCCAGGAATCCAACGCCCTCCTCGCTGTCGGACGAGATCGGACGGTGCAGGTTCGCGATCAGGCGCTGGAAGTCGGCGGCGCGAGCGGCGTGGTCGGGGCGGTAGGTCTGGCCGAGCACGCCGTGCACGTCGTCGGTGTGCTCCAGCTCCACGATGCCCACGTTGATTTGCGCCTCCGCGTCGTTGGGGGTCTGCAGCTTCGGGTTCGCCACGCGCAGCCTCAGGTCCAGGGAAACGAGCCCGTCGATCGTGAGCGTGTAGTAGTCCACGTCATAGGGACCCTCCTTCTCGAGCGCCGCGAACCGCAGGGTGAGGCCGCCCTCGGATGTCACTTCGTCGCCGACGGTCATCTTGGGGATCTCCTCGCCGTCGATCTCGATCGTCTTCATGAACCCGTCGCCACGCTCCTGCTGCTTGCCGCCGCGGGCCGCCAGGCGCACCTTGTGGTCGGCGCCCTTGGCGAACCACACGAGGCCGAGCTCCTTGATCCACGTGTGCACGGCCTTGCCGTCCACCACCAGCGCCGCGTTCTCCGTGTCGTCCGAGTAGTACCCGCGGAGCAGCATGTTCACATGGAGGTCGCGGTCGGTGAGAAGGCAGAAAGCCTTGTCGGGGCGGCCGTTGAAGTCGAAGTGGGTGCCGAACGCACCCACCAGATGGGGGTCGTTCACGATGTTCGCCGCGGGGTTGCACTAACCGCCCGTGCGCACCTGCAGGGCGATTGGCTTCGTGTCGGTAGCGTACTGAGCGGTGAGCTCGCCGCACGAGTAGTCGATGTCGTCGTGCACGAGGTAGCACACACCGTCCGACTTCTTGCCGTCGATGGTGATGTCGGGGATGTACTGCCAGTACGTGCAGCTCTTGTACGATGCGCACGTGTTGCAGCACGTCTGGGGAGACGCCTTCTTAAGAGTGAGAGGGTTGCCCTTAACATAGACCTCCACGCCGAGTTTGTTCTTAAGAAGGTTGGACGTCTTCCACTTGGCGGGGATGCCGCCCTTGCTGCAGTTCGCGGGCGTGCATGCGCCTTGCTCGGGCGCGCCGAGGTCCTTGTGGCACTTCATGGCGTTCCACCCGGCCTTCTTCACGTCCACCATCAGCATCGAGTCGGTGCCGGTGCTCACAACGGTCGTTCCCGCGAACTTGTCCAAGTTGCCCGCCGCCGCCGCCTTCTCGATGTTGCTGGGGACGTCGGACGCCACGCTATTGGAACCGAGGGCCTTGTCCAGGGGGACGGAGGGATTGTTGGGCCCGGTGGCGACGCTCGCTGCGGAGGCCGTCACCAGCAGCACTGCGAGCGAGGCGACGAGGAATGCAAGACGTGCCATAACTAGAAACTGTATCGAACTGCTTAACTTTGTTTGCAGGATTGATGCGGGTGGGCCTGGTGCGGGTAACCTCTATTCGTACTTGTTTCCTGCCAATCTCGTATATTGAACTCTGCTGTGTGATGGCTGTTACGAATTATCAGTGATGAAGTGTTTTGTACCACACCATCTCTCTCCTCAGGTTGCCTTCCTGCAGGATTTCAGGTACATGGGGGGTGGTGAAATTGTTGCGAGCCGCGACATGGGGCGAGTCGCGAGCAGTCAGGTTGCGGTCAGGAAAATATAGTTTACTGTAGGCACCTTCAGCTCGACCTGTGGTCTCTGGAAGTGCGTGCCGGATACCACTACACTCAGCGGAGCTCACGCGCAAACCGAGGCGAGCGAAGCCGAGACCAGCCGAGACCTCGTTAGTGCGTAAATATTTATTAGGTTCCGTGTCCATCGCAAATCCTACACAATTTGTAAGGAATTCACAAATTCTTACTCGGTTTCGACATAGCAGGTACCACGAACATTTCGCATCTTCAGCCTCGGCCCTCAAGTCTCTCTTCAAACCACCCCCGCCGACCAATTTGGCCCCGAACGTGTTACCTAGGCGCCCCCAACCCATTTTCTCAGATTGAAGTGAATAGCATGCAAGGATACAAGGGTATATAGCCTATTGTGTTACACTCTCTAAGGCATGACCTTATGTAGTCTATTACAATATATACAGATATGTTTGATACACCCCCTAGACTAAATAAGGGCAGTGCCTGGTGAGAGACAAGCAGCTCAGGGTGGCACTACTTGTCCAACATCTGAGGCAAGGGTCTAAAGACCAGACACAAGAGTACCAACAAGGCAAGAGCAAGAACAGGGCGGCACTACTAGTCCAGCCACTGGGAGGAAGACACAAGGCCGGTCATGATAACATATAAAGATTTGTACACAATAAATGTCCTAGCAAATGAGGTGCTACAGGAACGAGACCAAGCTGTACACAGTGCCGCTGATGATCTTTAGGCACAAGCGCCTTCGTAAAGATATCAGCTGTGTTGGCACCGGAGGCCAAGTGTACTACGCGGGCCTGGCGACGCTTTTGTAGCTCGCGCAGGAGGAAGTATTGTAGCTGGATGTACTTTGCCCTGCCCTCGAGTCTAGGCTCCTGACACAAGAGGATCATGCTCTTGTTGTCTGCATACAGGACCGGGGCAGAGCTAGGCCGCTCACCTAAGTCTGTGAGCAAGAAAGTCAGCCAGCGGAACTCCTCTGCCGCCATGGCACCGGCGTAGATCTCAGCCTCACAGATAGACTGGGCAACAGACGACGAGCGGATGGACCTCCACGAGACATCACCTACACCAAGGCTAAAATAGTAGCCCTGGGAGGACCTGAGAGTCTCGGCATCGTCGGCCCAAGAAGCGTCTGTGTGCCCGGTAAGGACCACTAGTCTGCGTCCTCCTAGCACTAGCCCCATGCCTGATGTACTTGCTAGAAAATGCAAAACCCTCTTAGTTGCCGACCAGTGCTGTGGTCGGCGTCTGCCGGTGGCCACAAAGTGGGCCAGGATGCTGAGAGGGTTTGCGAGAACTGGGAGAGTGCAAGTCATCAGGTACATGAGGCAACCCACCAGTTCTGCGTAAGAAACACTAGGCTCTATAGCCTTCTCGGAACTGGAGTAGAGGGTCTGTGGTCTACTGGCAGAGGGGTGGGCTGTTCGGAAGAGAATTAAAGGCCAAAAATATGAAGGACCTGGCTCACCAAGTGTGACTGTGGGAGAGTAATGGTGCGTGCTGCTCTGTCCCTAGAGATCTGCAAGCCAAGGTAGCAACGCAGCTCTCCTAGGTCAGTGCAGGTGTGTCTCCTCAGCAGCTCGGTCTTCACGAAGGCCAGCGCATCTCTGTCTGCAGTAGCAAAAACCATGTCGTCTATGTAGACAAGGATGTAGAACGGAGTCTGGCCGGAACGGACGAAGAGCGAGGGGTCTGCAGACGACAGGAAGAACTGCAGATTAGCAAGCGTAGCACGCAGCTTGTCGTGCCACTCACGGGGCACGTGGTGCAAGCCGTAGATAGGGCGCCAAGGAGCCACTCGATGCCAGAGGGGAAGGTACCGGAGAAGCCCGAGGGGCGGCACAGGTAGACCTGCTCGTGTAGACTACCCTGGAGGAATGCTGTGGAGAAGTCGAGCGAGAGTAGCTCGTAGTCACACTGTACTGCTATGTGTAGTAGTGCTTGAAGGGTGGTCATCTTTGGGGTCTGTGCGAAGGTCTGAAAGAAATCAACACCATAACGCTGACTGAAGCCACGAGCAACGTAGCGCGCCTTGAAGACAGGCGGCTCTCCAGGAGGGCGCTTTACCTTGAAGAGCCAACGGCCATCGACTACGCTCACCCCATGTGGGGGAACTACGTCGACGAAGGTACTGGTGGATCTCAAAAATGCCATCTCCTGATCCATGGCAACAATCCACTAAGAGGTCAAAGGTCCCGAGGTGGCCTCAGCGTAGGTGCGAGGGGTCGGGGTGTCAAGGGCGTCTGGGTCACCCTCAAGGACTAGAAGCATAGAGCAGAATTGGGAAGCGGCCTCGGACAGGAAAGCGAGCTCGTACTGCCTGTTCTCTAGGACGTCACTGCCATGGGCAGAAGCACTTCCGACGGATGAAGGGCAGGCAGGGTCAGAGACCAGAGTGGTGGAATGAAATAGAAAGGAAATATGGAAATGAGAAAAGAATGGAACGGGGTCGTACTCTCACACTTCCCCCCCTCAAATCTGGGTGGTAGACGGAACGCCCTACTTGACAAGGTAATCGCGAAGAGGACGACGAGAGTAATCCATCTCGGATTTAGAAACCCAGCTATCCTCTGAAGGATCATAACCCTTCTAGCGGATGAGAAGCTCCACGTTGCCATTCCGTCGACGACGGTGAGCAAGCACGGACTCGACCTCGTACTCGGGTTCATCATGGACGAGGATGGGCAGCGGCGGCGGCGGTTTGCATCCAGAGAAGACTGTGTTGGGATCTCGATAGGGCTTCAAGAGTTGGACATAGAAGGCGTTGTGAATCTTCCAGATAGGTAGCAGGCGTAAGCGGAAGGTAACAGGAGTGACCTGTGCTTCAACAAGGAAAGGCCCACAGAAGCGAGGTCACAGTTTGAATGGGAGATGGCTGATGTCAAGATTGCGTGTGTCGAGCAGTACTCGGTCTCCCAAGGTGATGGTGTGGTTTGTGCGGTGGCGATCGGCCTCGCGCTTCTGTTGTTGCTGAATGTCGAGAAGGCGCTTGTGGATCCGATCCCAAAGTTTGTGCATGGTCGTGATGAAATCATGAGCGGGTTGGGCTGTGGCTGGTATGTTTGGCTGTTGAGGTGTGAGTGGATGGCGTCTGTCCAGTAGCGGCGTGAGTAGCTTTGTTGTAGGCAAACTCCAGTACGGATAGATGCAAGTCCCATTTGGAGATTTCGTCCTTGCAGCTGCTCGGAGTAGTTGCTCTACAATTTGGTTAAGACGCTCAGTCTGGCTGTCTGTCTGTGGATGGTATGCATATGACAGGGTGAGTCGGGTCCCGAGCAGAGACATCAGTTCCTTCCAGATTTTGCTGGTGAATTTGGGGTCTCGGTCGGAGATAAGTGTAGTTGGAATGCCATGTTGTGAAATGATGTAGCGAACAAAGAGTTGTGCTGTTTCCTCGGTGCGTGCTGTCGTGTGTGTCGGGATGAAGTGTCCCATTTTGGAGAACTTGTCAATAACGACGAGGATCGCGTCATGACCGCTTGTGGTAGTTGGTAGCCCCGTGATAAAGTCTAGGCTGACCACTTGCCATGGCTGTTCTGGGACAGGAAGAGGCTGTAGCAGACCCTCCTTTTTCTGCTTGCTGCTCTTCATTCGCTGACATGTAGTGCACGAGGTGACGAATTTCTGTACGTCATCTGCCATGTGGGGCCAGTAGTAGTCGATACCGGTGAGCGTCTTGGTGCTACCGAAGTGTCCTACGTACAAGACGTCGTGGTATTCTTCGAGTAGTAACTGGCGCAAAGGAGGGTCGTTGTTGATCCTTTCCGTTACGCGATGTCGTTGTCCCACTGTAGCAGATGTCGCTTTTCTGCCAAGGGAATTTCGGGGTCGACGGTTTACCCGTGTGTGAAGAGTCCCTTGAGGAGTGGATTCATCCCTTCAACTTGGATAGCGGCAACGTGTGCAGGTCGGCTAAGCGCATCTGCTTTGTTTTTATGGCCAGGCTTGTACACGATGTCGTAGTAGAAGTGCGTCTCGAGGAATCCACCGAACCTGTCACCTGAAGAGGCTTGGTTGCGTCTTCAAATATTTTAGGCTGCAATGGTCGGTGTAGACTGTTGTTTTGCCTCCTTCGACATAACATCTCCACGTTTTGAAGGCGATGATGATAGCAAAGGCCTCCTTGTCGTGTATCGGGTAGTTGAGTCCTGCCCTGTGTAATTTTTTGCCGAGGTAGGCAATTGGTTGCAGTCCATTCCCCTGGTCTTGCATCAAGACTGCTCCCACTGCCTTGTCGCTGGCGTCAGCTTTGATGACGTAGTCGCGTTCGGGGTCTGGCAAGATGAGTACGGGTGCGGACGTGAGTGCTTGCTTTAGATGCTCCACGGCTTCCTGGTGTTGTGGCTCCCATTTATAGGGTGTGTTCTTCTTCAGCAGATTCGTGAGTGGCGCGGCGATCTTCGCGTATTGCGGCACAAACCTGTTGTAGTAGTTAGCGAAGTCAAGGAACTGCTGTAACTCCTTCACGTTCTCGGGTCCATTCCACGTACGCATGGCTTCGATTTTTTTG